AGTTTTTAAATTTCATCCGCAGTTAAATTACTGAAGAATGCCGAGTATGTTTTTTTTATTGTAAAGAAAGGCATATTTCTAATGTTTAAAACTTATTCAAAGTGAAATTCACTAAAAACTCAAGAACTTTCGAAACATGCGTCTACTTCTTCGAAATAGAGGTACGAGATAACATGACTATGGCAATAAAAATAACAATTTGTTACCGAATGTGAATCATAGTATTTGGTGAAAGTAAACACCTGATTGGACGTCTAGAAAACCCCTTTTTAAATTGGTCGTAGGGCAGAGCAATAGAAAGGCGAATCGAAGTACATATCTCATATCATTAATGATGTTATTCCCTATTTCGATGCTCACTCTTATCAATAAATATCGTCTCGCTGGTCGCCCTTATTAATACGAGCCCTTTTGAATGGATATTACATATAGATAGCTTTGGATGAGTGAAATAAAATCCTCAGGGCAAATTACATTCTTATATGTACCACAGACTGAATAAAATGCTCGAAGGTGCTAAATATTGAAATTTTATTGAGCACTAAAAGAAAGATGGTTATCTTCACTTGAAAAAAGTTTGCTTTTTTTGAACTGATCCTCAATCAAAACCTCAGTGTTAAAATTGATTTTAAATATATGGTTAAAAAGTGAAACGCAATTCAAACACATTCATATCAGTAATATTGGTTACATATAATTAAACACGTCAAAATCTTATCTGATTCATTACATTAGTTTGAGACCAAAATTAATGAAGTGATTGTGGGACGTTTTTATTACCTCGGAGCACAGTGGTATTAAACCATCTTGAGAACTCGGAATTCTTAGAATGATTTAACTGCAATATTTTAAAGAAAACAATGCATTTGATCAACTGGTCTATAATCAATTAACATAGGCAAACATCCTACTGAACTAAGTTGTACCCGACAGGCTTTTCTCAAATAATGAAGATCATTGCTTTTAACCTAACAGGTGAATTTTATCGGAGTTAGATATCATCAAAAGAATGAACAGCGATTGGAAACAACTGGAAAACAGAGCCCAGGACAGAATTCGTTGGAGAATCCTCGTCAGTGGCCTATGCTGCTCAAAGATGAGTAACAAACATAGGTAAGTAGATATCATACTTTGAATTTAAATACCAAGAAAAATGAGGTTTGTAGAAATGTTGTTATGCGCTCGTTTAAACATTATGGTTCCAAAGGACAAATATTTTAGACAACACAGTGTCAAAGAGATTCTCATTTTAAATGCGCTAAAAGCATGTATACTGCAAATAGAATAAGAAATATTTTCTAGAAACATTTGACAAACCTAGTATTTTAGCAATCTAGTTAAAGAAAAACATTTGAAATCATTTCACGGGATGTTAATAACAAAGTGAATTATGTTTATTAGTTCTTGGTGATGTAATAACATCCAAATACTAATATGATACAAAATTATTTCTCATTATATTTAAAGTTTCCTACTTACTTGTGAGTGAATTTATGTTATCTCCCATTTTTATAAGTTGTTCAATAGTACAGTAATAATAAAACTGAATAGTTAGAGGAATCATACTTGGTATCAGTTCATTAGAATTTCTAATCTATTTTTTTCTAAACAAAGTGTTGGTGAGGTCCCTTATTATCTGTAACGCTAATATAACTCAACAGTTAACTAGGAAGTGTGATTTGGTCAATAAAGTTATTGCACACTATAGCAGATCACGTGCAGCCCTTTTTTATTTGGCAATGAGGCATTACGGACATATGATAGATGGTACAATTTTCACAGTCTACACATATCAAAAAACCCTTACGAAAGTATTAAACGCCAAGCAGGATAACTATTCGTCGAGAGAAATTCGACAATTAGAATTTATTTCCCAATTTACGTCTAGCATACAATATATTAAAAGCAATAATAACGAAGTGGCAGATGCGTAGTCCAGAACGATGATAAACGCTTTAATCTAATCTGAAATCACAAATTAGCAGCATTGCAAAATATAGATGTTGAGCTAAACAGACTAAGGTCTGCCAACACAACCTCTTTTACACTGAAAGAAACTCTATTCGAAAAAGTAAGCATCACGTGTGATATTTCTACGGGCCGACCATGAGCGTTTATTTCGAAGCCACTGAGACGAAATGTTTTCGAAGCTATGCATAATGCTTCGCATCCTGGAAAAAAGGCCATAATCAAACTAGTCAGCGAGAGTTTTGTATGTTCAAGTATGAACCATATTATTCGTAACTGGACACAAGCTTACCAGAAAGTTAATATACATCGCCACACTAGTTCCGCAGTAGGTCAGGTGCGAACATATACATGCCGATATTGTGGGACCGCTGCAGATTCCAAATGGCTCTAGTTATATTTTCACCTGCATTGATAGATTCACGCGATGGCCTGTAGCAGTGCCCATAAAAGACATTTCAGACGAAACTATAGCAAAACCCTAGTGGAGCACTGATTTTCTTATTATGGAGTGCCTGCTAATAGTATAACCGATAGAGTTCAAATTGAATGCCGCCTCTCCCAATAATTCACAGAGTCCTTCGGAACCAAACGTATTCCCACAACATCGAACCACCCGATGGCGAAAATATGGTAGAGAGATTACATCGGCAACTTAAAGCCTCTCTTACAGTTGTTATTAGCAATAATGGTTGGGTCAGCCAGTTCCCAATAGTCATGTTGAGTTTGAGATCAACAATTAAACAAGATATAGGATGTTGCCCCGCAGAGTTGGTTTATGGAACTACTCTACATCTACCAGGAGAAATTTCCACCGCAGGTAAGTGTTCTAACTGATTTAGCCAACTATGTACAACGTCCAAAGCAGCATATACGTAATCCAAGAGTAACGCTTCCGAGGCAACATCAACAACGGGTGTACATACTAAATCAACTGGAACTGGGTGACTGTACCCATGTTTTATCAGGAGGGATAATGTGCACTGTCCCTTAAAACTAGACTAAGATGGTCCATTTAAAGTGATTAGAAGAAATGACAAAACTATTACGGTAGATAAAGCTAGAAAAACGGATGTAAATAGCATCGACCGAGTCAAACAGGCTTTAATCGAAGCTGACGATTATCTAGTACATACAAATTCTTCGAAAACTGTCGAATCACCGAAATGTGAGTTTCAATCATCAACGACATCGACCAAATAAAACGGGGAGAATCCGGTAACGACAAGATATGTTCGAAGAGTGAGATGCCGCAGCGATACATAGCTACGATTTTGAATTAATAATTCCTTTCACCTCTTCAGATGTAAATTTCCTTCATCTTCGTTTTGTATGAGCACATCGAGCATTTTAACTTATCTATTATTATATTCGACATATTTTGTATATTCTGATGTCGATGTGTATAAACTTTTAAAACCACTACTGTAATATTTCGATCTTCCGTTATTATCTTATTTGTACTTACGGACGTATACGAACTCAAGATTACACGTATTTGTAATAACTTACACGATAGTTCTACCATTATTTATTTATTTTAACACATAGATATTGGTACAAGGAGGCACCAAATACATATGCGCCACACAAATCTCATTCGATATGTGTGAGGGCAGTGACACTGCTCGGGTGCCCAAACTGAAGCAGGTGGTTTTCTTAGGGGGCCACTCCCCGAGCCTTCGACCTGAAGGTCTGATCCACAAGGCAGTGGAGCATCGTAAGGAGATGCAGTCCCATGGTGGCCGGTGACCAACAGTTGGTTCACACGCCATTTGTTCCTTCAGGATACTGGAGCCCATATGCACTATTGGTTTGGAATCCGGTTAAAGCGCCGGACATTCGCTTTTCGTCCTCTGAATTTCGTAAACGACACCCCCACCACGAGAAGGTAGTGAGTAAAACTTCCCTGGCAGAGGCTATATACGCGTGGCCATGTGAGAGCATTTCTAGAGGGTGAGCGGAGTCTCCCGACTCTCGGCCGTACCAGGGCATTCGGGAGCATAGTTCTATCACACATCTTAATTTAGTAAATTTCGATATTTACTGTCCTAATAGACTTAACATTTTTTTCGCAAACACAGACACTGTTTTGCATCTTTGTTTGCTGGGGGAACTATTATAGCAGCCCATGTGCAATTGAATTTGTTCATACTTCATTTGCTTAAGCACATTTGTTAATTTATTTAACGGACAGTCATTCGTACAATAACAACTTATCTATACAGTTGTACCTTTATTATTGTAGCACTTGTATGAATATGTATGCTTAAGCTTAATTGATTCTATGGTTCATTCATTTAATTATATATATATATATATATATATATATATATATATATATATATATATATATATATATATATATATATATATATATATATATATCTTAATCCCGTTCACTCACTTGCTTGCCAGCTTGCTTTTCGGTGCTACTCTTTCATGCTTGCTTAGCATACCTGTAACTTTGATGATCTGTACGTGGTGCAATAATAAATTTAAGCAACACTTCATATTGTCCTTCTGATTAATACACCGTTGGAGCATTATCTAGTGACGGTTATCAGGATGAACTGTATACGAAGTTTAAGGATTATATTGAATACCAACCACAACAGCACATAAGTTATTTAAAACAGACGAATATTTCATTAGCAGTGGAACCTAGAAGGCATGATTTACTTTATTTAGGACTCTTCATCTAGATACACCTTAATGCCCACGTTGACATTCACATTTAGAGTCGAATTTAGTACCTTTTAAATTGTAATGAGCAATCCACTGAGCTAGCTACCCTAAGTGTAAATAGCTACCAGTTTTATTAGGAAGGTATAATGTTGCATAACATTTTTAATAAAGGGTTTAATTATTCTGTTCAGGATGGATTAAAAGCCGGTTAAGAATATTAAAGATAGTAGAATTCAAATTCTTACTACTGCTACTAGTAAATCGTATACATTAATTTTAATTTCTGAAACATATTGAAGGGAAAAAAGCAAACTTTTTTTTTAAAGAAAAAAAGGGTCATTCACCTCGTCATCCATTACAAGGTTTAAATCCTTTTTAAAATCCATTTGTTTTGGTGTATTTATTAGAGTAGTATAGTAAACCGCTGATGTTAATGCTGATTCCTGTGGTACTATTGAATTTACACAATTAAAAAGTGCCAAATTAATAACTTGTAAATGCTGATCAAACTGATGATTATTGACATCGACAGATAACAATTTAGTATCATCTTTTCGCCGAATAATAAGTTGTTTAATGCTTTGTAATAAAAGTTCTGAAATACTCAAATGTAATTTCGAATTACCGTCATCAACTAGATTATATTCCATATCTTGGAAGGTAACAATTCGATCGCAGATTCTCACAAGAGAATCACTTAATGGAACTGATTGACGTGTTAAACGTGAATATCCATCGCATAATGACTAAATGAATAAAAATGTAAATATGGAAATAATAATAATAATGTCTACATCTGATGTAATACGACACTACTTTATTTGAAATGAAGATTACAATTTAAAAAGGTGTTAAGTCTAAATTTTCTTTAAAACAAAACTATACAATACCGTTTGCAATTAGAACTGATCGGGTTCCGTCTTCCCAAAATCCTTTATTTCAATACTTCATTTCACATTTTTGGATTGATAGGATCAGCCAAACGATAGGTTCATGCTATTGGCCCATATTTGGCCTTCTATTCTCATAAATGAGACATGCACTATTGAATATATATATATATATATATATATATATATATATATATATATATATATATATATATATATATATATATATATATATATATATATAGTAATTCGGTTTAGCCAATAAAACTACATTCCCACTCTCGGTGTTCTCACTTCAATAACCAGTTGAACTAGTATATCAGTGTCGAAATCGGACAGTGAACTACACTATATAGATTACACAATACTTAGTCATATCAAATAGTCCTTCGTTGTGATCAAGAGTTAAAATGAAGCAGAGAAAAAACCCAATATGGCATACTATTAGGGTACATTAAAAATTATACATTATACCATTGCGATATATGCACAAATCCACTAAGATCATCAGAATGAATTTTTATGAATAAATTGGAAGTATAAACAAAGCAACACTTACAAATGGCACAAAAACTGGCATTAAATGTGGTGGAACTGGTATTGTTGTCGTTCTACCTTCACTAATGGAATTACGTAGAATTTCCTCTTCAATTTCATCATATTCATGGTAATTAGTATTCTTGTTATTATTCATTTGTTCATATGTGACAGTATCACTTCCAGATACTGCTAATACTAATTCTGATGAGGAGGACTGTCCGTCTTCCTGTTTTTTGATAACTGTCAACGAATTCGGTAAATTAGCAGGTAGTTCCCATAGAATAACATTGAGCTAAATAAATATTTTGCAAAAAACATTTAACGTACAACATGATAGAAAAAGGCATTAAAAATAGATGTATAAAACAAAGTATTACATCAACCAGACTAATGTATTATTTTGCATATATATATATATATATATATATATATATATATATATATATATATATATATATATATATATATATATATATATATATATATATATATATAAGTTGTTTAATAGTTGAAAGTCGAATAAAAGATAATGAGATGAAGCCAACTGGGTCAAGGATGATCGTTCACTTGACGAATATCAGAATTAAAAAGTGTAAAAATTTCAAAACTAAAAAAGTGATAGAAACGAACGATCAAAACTACGAAGATTGAAAACATTATAAGAATGTAATAAAATCAATTTATCACATATGAAAATTAAGTGTTATAGCCATGGAAGAATGATGGCTTTTATGTCTCTTTTGCACACAGAGTTTAGGTTTTGAAAAAGGTGGATTGCTAGTCTCCACAGTGCGTAAGATATTAATTTGCGATTTTTTCGAAACAAATCGTTGAAATGTATAGATGATTTTAAAGAGCTTATTAGATTAGGTCATTTAACTAGAGCTCACAACATGTTTGAATATTGAACTGTTAACTGATTTACATTTGCCATCTGAAAGTCATGAAGGATATTGTTAAGAGATGCGTTTGAAAGCGTTCGACTGTATGGGCACACACGAAAAAAAGTGAATCTATAAATACATATTTATGTGGCCCAATGTGGGAGTCTGCTCTTCATACATACAAAAATGATGTGGCTGGAAAGGAGGATGAGAAGCTTGATGGCATAAAAAGTATCCCGAAAAATAACGTTAGACAGTTCTTCAAAGTTTCATAAGCAGGATCTCTTTTAAACTTTATGCTCATGAAGAGAGTTTTCCCAGGTCTTGGAGATTGTAATTGATGTTTCGTTTCTCGCTCAACAAACCTGGATGGACAACCGTTTCTGAAGAAAATCTGTTGATTGTTGGATAGTTTCTTCGTAAATCGTGTCTTTCGAGAATATTCGTCTAGGCGTTGATGATAAATAATGAAATAATTTCTTTTCTCTTTAATGTGACCCACCTATGAAAATTCGTATATTTTCGATTCCAAGTGGATTTTCGGTAATATAAACATTTGTAACGTACCATTGTCTTCTATTTATTAAGACACCGAAGAAATTTAATTTTGAATTCGATTCTGATTTCAATGTAAATTTGATGAATCGATGACAATTGTTGAACTTATCGAGGGTGATATTAAGTTCACTGTTTTAATCATAAATAATAAAATTGTCATACACATATCTGTTGTGTAAGTGAAAGCCGTCAATCGTCTCTTGAAGTACTCTGTTCATAAGATTGGTCGTAAAAAACATCCGTTAGAAGAGAAGCGAATGGTGAACTCAAAGTGATGCCATCAGTTCGTATGTGAAGCTCACATTATATTTAAACTGTACACTGAAGGTGTACCATAGGAATAACTGCTTTTGGTAGTGTTTAAGAACATTCCTCGGCTTAACTAACTAACCCATCGATAGAAAAATATAAACCAACAATAAAACTTAACAGTTTTGCCATCAGGCTGATGAAACAATTACAACGAAGCCACGTATATCCTGCAAACGTGTATCCAAGATATATTAATTATTTCTTTTTTTTTAAAAGCTGATCACAACTCAGTCATATTGATCACGTAATATGCATCATAATTAATAGCTAAACCAATAAGTCGAACCATTCTATGACAAAATTAATCAGAATCACTATGACTAGTCACTAGTTCAATTAGCGTTTCATCTATTTTATTTGTGGTGCGGTTATCACAGTTTGCTCAATTAATTTACATTACGGAAAGGTTGCGTACAATGGATAATACACCTTGAATATTAATTAGATTCATTATGGTCAAAGACAGGGACATTACGAAGCTCAAAACTTAAGGGACCATCCGCTATTTAATTATCTAACATTTATAAAGACGATTCAGTTATTTCATAAACGTGTTAGGCGTTTCCACCTGCTATGTGTAAAAAATCTAAAGGTTCCATTTGATGTAAAAACGATCAAAGTATTGTCTGATACCATACTATCGGAAATTGACTAAAATGAGAAGAAAACTAACTCCTAAACATAGGTTATTTAAGTTGTAGGTCAGCTGTCCATATTTTTTATTCACCAAAGCATGAATAAACACCGTAATAACAGATAAGTGGCTAATAACTCGTATGATTTTCACATTATCTGGCTAAAACAGTGCTCATAAGAGAGCAGGTTATCTAAATATTTGTTATGACACATTAGTTCATTTTTTTCAAAGAACAACCTTAGTGATATTTTCCTAACACAACATTTATTTAATAACATTCAGTGTTAACTGATTAACTGTTTTCGATTCTAGTTTGCTAACAATTTTATATGGCTTACGGTCATTGTATGTTACTGCCTAAACGGAGTTGTTCCTGTTCAGTTTCTGACTTCTGTTCGGAATATAAAGTTATCCTGAAAGTCTCGCCTTCTCTATGTCGCATTACCATGTGAAATACTGATGTGGTTAGTGTTTCCAGTCTATTCAACCTTTTATTCATAGTGTCATATTAGTAGAATCGCTTATCATTTGTAAATAGAAGTTACCATAGGTCAACCGTAAACCCCAATACCTTAACGGTTTTCTTCGATATGTAACAAACAATACTCGAGGATTTTGGAAAAGTTTGAAAATCAACGTACAATATTATCTGGAGGATGGGTATAGAGTAAGCGTGTACCTCATAATAAAGAACGAACGTGTATCTTGTCAACATTTTAATGTATCAGTCTCTTTTATAAAAAGTGAAGTTATAAACTGACAACATAGAGTAAACTTAAATACAGTATAAAGCAGTTGAAAGGACGAAACGATGCTGGTTGATCATTGACCATGTTCCCATTGTGTATACATCTGATGCAAGGAAACATTTGATCGATAGATTGCGATCAGCACTAAGATGTGAGTTATCGATTCTCCAAAGATCATCATCTAGGTTCAACTAGGCTGGCTTCTGGCCAACCTACTTCCATCTTGTAAACTTATATAAAATAAATACTTTCAAAAAAGTCACTTACGCACCATTATTTGATTTCCAGCATCATTATTCTTTGTTTTCCAATGGTAATTTATAATAACGGCTGGTACTAACCAAACAGACTTGTTTACTATTAACTGGAGTAATATTAAACGACCGGGACAAAAAATTTGCTGTAAACGTTGCGCATATTTTACATCAAGTGTAGAAATAATTGAATTTGTTAGTTGACGATATTTATAACACAACTGTGTAACAAAATAAAACATTTAGACAGTGTATACACACTCATCATACAACATTGAAAACATATATATGTACATATGTAATGAACAATAAATCTTGTGAAAAGGTAAACCAACTAAGAAAACTACTACTGTCTATCAGAACAAAAGCCTGAATTAATCTACTAATCTAAAGTAAAACATTAGAACATACTTGGGCCCCCAAATGCCCTGGTATGGCCGAGAGTGGGGAGAGCCCGCTCTCCCTCTCGAAATGCTCTCACATAGCCACGCGTATATAGCCTCTGCCAGGGAAGTCCTACTCACTGCCTTCTCGTGGCGGGGGTGTTGTTTACAAAAATGAGAGGACGAAAAGCGAATGTCCGGCGCTTTAACCGGATTCCAAACTGATGGTGCACATGGGCTCCAGTATCCTGCGGGAACAAATGGCGTATGAACCAATTGTTGGTCACCGGCTACCATGGGACTGAATCTCTTCACGATGCTCCACTGCCTTGTGGATCAGACCTTCAGGTCGAAGGCTCGGGGTGTGGCCCTCTAAGAAAACCACCTGTTTCGGTCTGGGCACCCGAGCAGTATCACAGCCCTCACACAAATCAAATGAGATTTGTGTGGCGCATATGTATTTGGTGCCTCATTGTACCAATATCTATGTGTTAAAATAATAATAATAATAATAATAATAATAATAATAATAATTATTATTATTATTATTATTATTATTATTATTATAATGCTTGGCAAAACATAACAGTCTACAAAGTCAAAATTGACAATGTCAAAGTTTTACAAGCTACGGTTATCACTAGTCATAACTGTCGTCACTAAATATTTATTCTTGCTATTGTTAGTAGTATGATTATTACACTATTACCATTAGTAATAGTGTGATGTGAGCTACTTATATTGATATAAGTAGTATATAACGTGCGTTAAAGGAACGTAATGTCTGGCAGCAGAAGATGGCGAAGATTAAGAAAGGTAGAGCGAGAACACAATGGAATTTGTAAGAAAATGCATGAACAATGAAATGGGAGACAATGGATTGGTGTTCGCAACAGAAACACTCCAGTTTGATTTGATGCATGAATATTTTGCAAATTGACGATTTACTATATGGTATTTGGATTTTGTTGAGATAGTCTGTAACTTTTGTGCTAAATACATCCGTTTCTCCCCACGCGTGTTCTTGTTCATTACAATATTATTAGGTGTATTGGTATTATTATTACTAAACTTTATCGATAACTGAAAAAACTTGTATAGAAAATATATATCATACCTTTGATTTTCTATTATATATTAGGGCTCCTATTTCCACCTGACTGATTCTAGAGAAAGGCTAAAAGTGGTAATCTCCGGATGTGACATCACTTAATGAAGTAGTTAGCTGTTAGACTTATTCGTGTTTGTAGGTGAAGATTAATTAATCACTTGATTGGAGTCAGAGCAATCCTTAAAGTTAATGGTTGAAAACTGAGTGACGGGTCAGGACCGATCTCAGTAGTGCAAATACCCTTTAGCCCTCATAAAACCCAGTTCCATAATAATTCTACAATTTTTATGCTGCGAATTCATTCTTTCTTCGGGAATCATATCGCCTATGCATGATGTTTGATACTTCTGTAATGAACGAATTCTTAGGTAGTAGACCAATTTACTGTACAGTGCAAAATCACACACTGCACTTGTAGTATATGAAAACAATACATCGAATACATCATTTGCACACATTCCTTGAATTGTCTCTTGCAAGGTTCGTCAATGTTTTATTCCTGTTGCTGCTCGGACTGCTTATCCTTTTCTTTCTGTTACCCACATTTTCCTCTTGTCACTAAGAATTCTGCTTCCAAATTTTGATACATACTACTGTTATCTTTCCGTATAAGTAGGACATACCACATTTAGACAAATATGTGTACAGTTTATATCAGATTGAGATTGTTATTGATTAATACCACTTCGTTACTCTGATACACTATGGTAACTTTGACGGATGCACATGTCTTAGATTCCATGTTGCTTATTAATGACTATGTTGGCTATTTAGGAATCTGTTGTTCAGTTACTGCTGGTGCGGGTGTTCATGAGTGGATGCTTTGATTTTGACTGTAACTACAAGAGATTCAGTCGCCTAATGGATAATGATTTAATGTTTATAATAACGGGTTCGTAGCACAATACGAATATATTACCACTCAGACCCATTTGTGTCTAACTTACGAGTTCTGTTAGCGGGACATAGACTAGATTAAATCACTTCCCATGCAGGACTATGTTGGAGCACGCTGATTAACCTTTTCTTTGCCAACCAGCCCTTATCGAGGATTCTACAGCTAACCACTACTCAACCATCCTATTTAGCAGTTATTCTTTGTAAACAATTATTCGAATTCGACAGTATACACCTATAAGACTCGTAAAATTATTCTCAGTATATATATATATATATATATATATATATATATATATATATATATATATATATATATATATTACTGAAGCGACCTATTGAGCTCGTGTATACAGAAGCTTGTGTGTATTGGTTGCTAAAATGAACGCTGCACAACCGAACATATTATCTTATTAAACTGATAAAAATTTGTGCATAGTTTATCGTATGTGGAAAAGCAATAAAAATGTATTGGTAAGTTGGCATTTTAACTAACTTGATAGTATTGACCTATGGAATCACAGCATTCAACTCCATCATGTGGACATTTAACCTGTACATCAAGACTATCAATCAGAGATTTAAACGAATCACTAGTACCCTCAATGGATGTTGAAATTGTAATAGTTGATGTCTGGATGATAATATTACTAATATTATTATCAGTATTATTATTATGTGAGATTATTTTAGTAGTTTCATTTATCTTTTTATTTAATACTGATAAATGTTGTCTTTGTTTAGTCTCCCATCGATGACTTGCTGCTTCCATAAAACTACGCTTCATAATATCCTGAAAGAAATAAGAATAATTGAAAGCAATGAGAAATTTCTCATGATTAAGGATAATTCATCTACCCAAAATTAAATTGTGTAAACGTGTAACAACACCAACTGCTACACCATTGCTTTGATTATTACAATGGATCCACTTATTTTCTCAACAATATTGAGAAAACTAGCATTTCTGTAGACGAAAGTAAATTTTAAATTTCGTTATTGTTAGTGTGTGGTTTGTGGAGATTGTTGGATTTGATCGTTTACGAGCTGACTTTAGTTATGCAACCGCTGGGAACTAAGAGGCATTGGACATCTGTTTTCTGTCTACCAGAAATTGAAGGATAATTTCCGGAGTTATAGATTGGGAAACCGTAACCAGTAATATAGTTCGAACATACTGACTGTGAGACAACTACCAAACGACGACATTAGATGATTTGCAATGTCACCAGTTGATTGAATTTAAAGTGTAAACCGTCGGATGCTAACTCAAAAGTCTAAAGATTAAGTACTTGTCTTAAACCCTAAAGATCCTGAGCTCCATATCCATTATGGACGTGAATGCACACTTTGCAAAAGACTAGAAATAAAATGAAACAACCATTTCGTGCTTCATGGTTTCTAATTCGTTATTTTTACTGTGTTTTCATAACAAAAACTGTACAGATTTTATGAACTACTCAGTTTAAATTAGTTATGATTATTGGCCCTATTTTGTATTCACAATGATTTACAAAGTTCAGATATTCATATTTGTTCACAGAACATAAATCCGGTCGAGTTAACTGTACGCTTACGATGGATCGAGTGAAATGTACTAGACAAATATTGATACATTAAACCGTACATGATTATTTTTTCACTGTTAAGTTACTGACAGTCATAAATCTACTACACGTACTTCCAGCTAAAAAAATTCAATTTAATTACCATTTTCGATTTATGGTGTGTTTTGGGCTTGTATAACATGTATATCATCATCAAGTGACAGTCTAAAAACAATGTAAAATAATACAAAAGGTTCAGCTGCATATCTAGTGTATTGATTTGGCAAACTGAATGCAGGTGAGAAATTTTGTATGAGTAATTAACCAATTATCACGTATATGGTGGAAGAGGTAGGAGAAGAAAAGTCATGAGTTTGAGCATTTGGATTATGATACCAAAAGCCTAGTTTCTGAAACTATACTTGTGTTCACTGTTAAAAGTAAACGGTGCCACCTGGCCTTATTACGTAGGTGGTAAATTCGAAAACATAAACTAGACTCCTTATAAAAGGTTGTGGTTTATGTGGGATTGATTTGACAGAAAACAGGTGCAAAAATGTTTATCGACAGCTTGACAATATGGATCAGTAAAAGTTATTTTAAAGATTAGTTGAACAGAAAATCAAACAAAAAACATAGTTCATTAGAATGATAGAATACCAAAAAGGTTTAAGTGACACTAATTTATGTGAAAACAGTAAGCACTAATGAAGTGGTGCATCCAGGGAGAGAATGATAGCTCCGTAATTAAACCATCTAGATCAGAGAACACACTATTAAACTGATTAGCAAAGTGTATTACACCCGCACTAACGGATTAAAAAATTTAGAGAGAATGCATTTGTGTTAAATACAAGGATTACTAAGAGGCAAGTTACCTGTGGAGTTAGTGAAGATGATCGATGTAAATTTAAAATCATAGAATAAGTGACCCTGAATCTTGAAATTAATCTTGTTTGTCTTCCAAGTATCATATTTCGCAAAAGACTTTCAGTCGGTAGACCAGTGACAGATGATTTTAACGATTTACCAATAGTACTAACCAAAATAATTACAAGACCTTTGGCGTCTATACCACGACGACCTGCTCGACCAGCCATTTGAGTAAATTCACCTAATAATAATAATAGTAATAATAATAACAATAATGATAATATTTTATGGAAAATAACACTAGAAATAAATGGAAATATCATAAAAGTTTGATTTGAATAAAAGATTAAGCATGAAACTTTGAACGAATTGAATTGGTGAAAAGGATAGATAATAGCAATATTATGCAATCAAACAGAAAATACATATGAACGATCATTAAAGTAATGGTGTAAATTTCCCTAAATGCATTCAATATAAAAGCTCAGCGGTTGATATCCTTTAAATAATACTAAAGTAAGTAGATTTTTAACCAAATTGAAAGAGTATTGTAGAAGTACTAAGAATAATAGTAGTAGTAAAAACAACTAGGTATAAAAAATGCGAAGAAAACGATCAGCTCAATTGAAACAAACACTAACAAAAATTAATGAGAGGGACTTTTGGTCTCACATGGACGATTAACCTCTAAACCAATAAACTGGGAGCCGATGGTGTTAATGTCTAACCTCAACCAATTCACGATATTGCACGTTCATCTTCCATTTTCTTTGGTAGATAACTGTCTCACACCCGACACGGTTGAACCCCACTGGTCACAGATTCTCACAAAGCTAGTCACTAGTGGATATATGATAATAATCAGTATAGGGCTGTGGATATTGTTGGGTTTTAATTGAGACCATGAGCCGATCAATGTCCCATACTAGGACAAAACGGCCATTCAGGTTTTCAGTGGTAGTCTAACACTGATCTATTCATGATCTAAATTTAAATTAAAAAATCCCCACAACCCTATGCTGATAATCTTGATTATACGATACAACACCACTTCATTTTCTTCGATTTTCATATCCGACACTTGGATAACTTTATCATCGATAACTTTGTAACACTCCCCCATTTTACTATAGACTATTACATATAAAAAATTACCTGTAAATACGACTGTACAGCTTGGGAAAATGATACTGTCAAGAAAATTTTCCTCGTTGAAATATCTTTTTTTAATCATGAATGCGTTACTTAATTTTGTGTTAAAAATCATCTTAGTTGTGCATTTTTTATGATTTATTTTTGTCATGTGCACTGGTATTTTATCTTATTTGTATAGTGACCATATGAATTGTGATTAATATGATCATTTGTCCGAATTCGAACAAATAGTTTGATAAATAAATTGGTACATTATGAAAGCAACCGTGTCAGCAATTGGGTGAAGTTATTTTTCACTGCGATGAACCGCGTCCAATGTGGAACGGTTCAGTACGTGGGTTGAAAAAAAACACAAATATACCAAACCTAAGGGCTGGGAATAAAATCTTTAATGAAAGTTAAATTTTAATATGTAGCACTCCACTTACCAATTAAATGGACAGAAAAAATGACAAAAAGTACAGTGTACGGTATATTTCATGGACTTCCCCAGATCACACTACACAAAACCAAATTGACCATATCTGCATCAACAAAATTTCAAGAGGATGATGGAGGATGTGAGAACTAAATCATCACTTGCTGGTCGCCAAGATGAAATTGAAACTCGAGAAGCACTTGACAACGGGGTGGACAACATCACAAAAATTCAATACGCCTTCGGGATACTGACTAAATTAACAAATTCATGATAGCCCTCGGTAATATGTTCCAGGCCTTTCACGATCTATTCAATGAAGATGGAACTACTATGGAGAGCAACTGGAAAGAGATAAATGAGGCAATCACTTCAACATGTCATGAGGTTCTGGGCCACAAGAAGCACCATCACAAGGAATGGATCACTGTTGATACATTGGATATGATTCAAGAAAGAAGAAACAAGACGGCAGCATACATATTGGCGCTCTCTTGTACCAATATTTATGTGTTCAAATAAATAAATAAATAATAGAGCAGAGAAAGCCAATGCACAAGCTGAATATACACAAGAAAACGAGCAAATGAAGAGGAGCATCAAAACCGACAATTGTAAATATGTGAAAGATCCAGCAATGACGGCGGAAAATGCTGTAAGAAAAGGAAACATGAGACAATTGTATGATACAACAAAGAAACTCTGGAAATTATCGTAAACCGAAACGACTAGTGAAAAGCAAGGAAGACAAAGTAATCACCAACATCGAAGAACACTTCAAATAACTCTTGAATCAACCAGCCCCACTGAACCCACCCAACATAGAAGCAGCACCCACGGACCTCCCAATCGATGTTAGCCCACCAACAATTGAAGAGATCATCATGGCCATCAGAAAAATCAAGAGTGACAAAGCGGCAGGACTAGACAACATTCCAGCAGAGGCACTGAAAGCAGACGTAGCAGTAACTGCAAGGATACTCCACATTCTGTTTAGCAAGATTTGTGATGACGAACAAGTACCAACAGACTAGAAAGAAGGACACCTGAACAAAATACCAAAGAAAGGAGATCTTAGCAAGTATGATAACTACGGAGGCATCACTCTTCTCTTAATACCAGGAAAAGTCTTCAACAGGGTATTGTTAAACAGAATGAAGGGCTCCTCAGACGCCCAACTTCGAGACTAACAGGCTGGATTCCGTAAGGATCGATCGTATACAGACCAAATTGCAACACTACGGATCATTGTGGAACAATCAATTGAATGGAATTCATCACTCTACATCAACTTCATTGACTACGAAAAAGCATTTGACATCGTGGACAGGACAACACTATGGAAGCTTCTTCGACACTACGGCGTGCCTCAGAAGATAGTCAATATCATACAGAATTCATATGATGGATTAAACTGCAAAATCGTGCATGGAGGACAGTTAACAAAGTCGTTCGAAGTGAAGATCGGTGTCAGGCAAGGTTGCTTACTCTCACCCTTTCTCTTTCTCCTGGTGATCGACTGGATCATGAAGACGTCAACATCTGAAGGGAAACATGGGATACAATGGACATCTAGGATGCAATTGGACAATCTAGACTTCGCAGATGATCTGGCCCTTCTATCGCACTTGCAACAACAAATGCAGAAGACGACCAGTGTAGTAGCAGCCTCAGCAGCACTACGTCTCAACATGCACAAAAGGAGAAGAAAGATTCTCCGATACAACACAGCATGCACAATTGACGGAGAAGATTTGGAAAATGTAAAAACCTTTACATATCTGGGCAGCATCATTGATGAACAAGGTGGATCTGATGCAGATGTGAAGACGCGGATCGGCAAAGCAGGAGCAGCGTATTTACGACTGAGGAACATCTGGAACTCAAAACAATTGTCAACCAACACCAAGGTCAGAAATTTCAATACAAATGTCAAAACAGTTCTACTGTATGGGGCGGAAACCTGGAGAACTACGAAAGCCATTATCCAGAAGATGCAAGTGTTTATTAACAGCTGTCTACGCAAAATAATTCGGATCCGTTTGTTAGGCACTATCAGCAACAACCTACTGTGGGAGAGAACAAAGCAGATCCCAGCCGAGGAGAAATCAGGAAGATGCGCTTGAAGTGGATAAGACACACATTGAAAAAAGCACCCAACTGCGTCACAAGGCAAGCCCTCACTTGGAATCCTCAAGGCCAAAAGAAAAGAGGAAGACCAAAGAACACATTAGGCCGTGAAATGGAGACAGACATGAGGAAAATGAACAATTTGATAGAAATAGAAAAGAAGGCGGAGGACAGAGTGGGTTGGAGAATGCTGGTCGGCGGCCTATGCTCCACTGGGAGTAACAAGCGTAAATAGTAAGTAAACGGTATATTTAGTGAACATTGGAAATGTTATAGATAACCTCAGCGTCTATCACAACGTAATTAAACTTGAAACGATACAATCAGATGTCAGAGAATCTAATTTATTTATAGTGGTTGTATATTAGTGATTAGATATTAATTATTATCCCATAAAGTATGCATATATATAATGCTTAACAAAGCTGCCTGACTATATATTACACTATAATACTTACTTGGATCCAAAGACCGTCTAATATGACCATCAAATTTTTCAAGCGACGTAAAGACTACACAACGTGCAGGTGTATTAACTCCCGTAGAAACTGTTTCTGTAGCGAAAAGAATTTTCACTAAACCAGCTCTAAATAAAAGTTCCACCGTCTAGTGGATATAAATTATTAACAAATAGAGAAACGTAGTTATTATTGAAACAATCAACGCAAATGTATAAAAGCATCAATATTAGTGATGTTGTTCAATCTGGAATGTAAGTGTATCAGATTAACACATACTATATCACCACAGAAATATTCTACAATGATAGAAATAGTGACGACAACAGTAGTATTAGAGAAGACTAGCCACACAAGACATTATACAAAGAGAGAGAACACAGAGGGAAAGGGAGCAATTGTAAGTAAAGTGATCATGGATATTTTAATCAATCTTACTTGATGTAAGTAAACAGTTTGAATTCTGGAAAAGTTGGAGATCGATAGGTAACAATATGGGCTTGAAAACTGTATAAGATGCTGCGAATGGTTTACACACAGGAACTATTCAAAATAAAGTTATGTTTTCTCCTAGAAAATCTTATAAAAAGATCGTGGTTAATGTTGATATAGTTATATAGTTACTGAACCAACCAACAGCACACTCTTAAGACAAAAAGCAAGGTTTGTAATTTCGATCTCACACTGGATACAAGATAGAACGCTAGATACAGGATTACTATACTAGACACGATAACTTAATCGGTCGGATTAGAGTGAGAGCTGAATCAATGACCTCTACATAACACGATACTTGATAGAGTAAGTACAGTCACAAAATTGTGCGGGCCAACAATGCAAACCTAGATATAAGCTAGTGTCCAGGAGTTTCAAAATATCCCTCGTCAAAGTCCCTAGAGGTCCACAAAACGACAGAAAATCTCTTATCTAATCAGTGTTGAATAAAAGCTCCTCAGAACATAGAAAATGAGGAAACATGTCAAGTTTACTGACGTAGAAATTTCTAGAGACTCAAGGTTACCCTTAATTTTCTGCACATTAGCTAGACTAAAAGTAAGCTTCTACTCATATTTCGTATATTTTCTTTATTGGTCCAGTCGATGTGTAAAAGTGGTTTGGGGTTATGAGAAGCGGCTGCGAAGGCAATAGTAAGCGTCCCAGTAGCAGAGTTATCAGCTGAAACAATGGTGTATTAACCCACAGAACAAAAGTAATCAACAAATTTACTCAAATTGAAGCATCGTACATATCACATATACATTATTTCATGATATACAGCGATTTAGGAAAGTTATGCGTACCGAGATTATTGAGAATGATCTCACTGAAGAACGACATTGTGTATGGACAAGTGATACATTGAAATATTGATTTACCGTGATCATGAACTTTACTATTAACTCCTTCCAGTTTTTTTACAACGGTGCTCTTAAAACTTCTAATCTATATTTGTCATTTACATTTTTTTTTACCATGTCGAGTATAAATATCAACAGTGAAATTGAATTCAGAAAAGAACAAAAGTATTCAAACAGCAAAAATATTACTCACTTCTTTTAATATAGGTAACATCCCGCTATGATGAACAGCTAGTCCTCTTCTAGTTAAATCATGAAGAAATTTAACTGAAGCAAGTTTCCGATCACATTTTCTTAAGCGACCAGTAATTGTAGAGAAAAACTTCGTAATTTGTTGTTTTTCAGCTAAATAAAGAATATACATACAAATACCATGTGAATTGGTAAGTGGTATTAGTTGACTATAGTTGATATTCAGGTATGTAATTGATTTCTTTTTCTTTCAATCCAGGAAAATTGTCGCGAAATGTAAAGTCATGTCACAAGTTCCGGAAGATTTAGTAATTGGCTAACAATAAACTCCAGAAAAAGTATTTCGTCCGGTTTGTGACCCGTGAGATAGATGCACCTAACTTTCACAATAATATTCAAACACAGAACCTTTTCTTCAAATACCAAAGTTCATATAATTTACGAACCCCAACTAGAAAGAAACACAAACTCTAGATTCCACATTAAGTCAAGAATCGTCAGAAATACGAATTTATACTCAGCGGCATATCACCAAAAGTACCATTATTATTAATTAAAGTTGTTTTTTAAGGCTAATTCGTCTAAGGAAAAGATAAGAGTGTTACTTATGACCATAAAGATTTGGATTGTTAGCTTGAATCCTTAAAGCTTTTTTTATATGTAAGAGGCGAAACTGAATACTCTTGTCATGCAATTTTGATAATTTTTAGTAAATGTTATTTCAGTGTCTACGTTTTCCAAGTCACTGACATACCGCCTTTTATGAAACATTGATTCAAGCTTTTATTATTCTCAGCACAATTAGTACACCTATCATTGCCCTATCAATTTGTACTTTTTACTGAATATGTTTATTGATGTAATTTATTCCACTGTTATCACTGTCTCACAAGATGGCTTGATCGGTTTAATAATTCCATTCATTTATTAAAACACATAAACATTGGTACAAGGATGCACCACATATTTATGCGCCACACACCGTCATTCGATTTATGTGAGGTCTGGAATACTGTCCTGGCGCCCAAACCGAAGCAGGTAATAATTTCATAAATGCATATAAGCATTTTGTATTAAAGACTGGTGAAGATCTAATTCAAAGAAATATTGTTCACTAATATATGCCATTCTAATTCACAATATAAGAATTTTTAGTACTTTAAAATTCATTCAATAAAGATTTTAAAACGCTGTGTCGAAATTGTCAAAGATGAATTCCTAGGTATTCATAGAAACCTTGGGTATTCGCGAATACAGACCTTCTGTGTCTATAAAACACTATATATTGTAACCTTAGATCGTCGCTGGTAATCCTCTACACAATTTTACGACCAATAATAGTGTGATAACATTTACTCTCGCTCCGTATTATATTGACTTTTTTCTCTCGATTATTTATAAGCGTTTAACTGACCTCCACTTGTTTTTACACACAAATGCCTTGACAAATACATGTGTGACCACATTATCCGAAATGTATCGTGTAAATACAACTTATTTTTTTTAAACAGAGCACGTCTTCACATTGCTTTATCGACCAGAATGTAAACTAACTAAAAAAGGAAACTAACGATTTTAAAATCCCAAAAAGAATAAGATAATCGGAAAAATATCTTGCAAAACAGCAACAACACATCACGTACATTTACTTGTTAAGTCTACTGATGATAGATTTTTAGCTAATGTTTCAACGGATGATCGAGAGAATGCAAATGCTATCGCAGGCATAAGATTTTGTTCTTTTAGTAAATTAACGAATCCAAGCCATGTATTTTTAGTATGCATAATGAAAGCATCTTTCCCTCTACAAGCTATAACAAAATAATAAAACAAAAATAATTAAATTATCTAATAGTTAAAGACAATTTATATTATATCAGTCAAACAGATCCTTTTAATGATATATACATATTTGCGACTTCTCATGTTGATAAAACGTAGAAGCAAAAACTTGAATACGAGTAGGGTTGAGGATGTATATTTCCTACCTATGAATTATCAGACAGATAGTAAGAATGAATCGATGAATACAACATGATATTTGACTATTACTAGCCAAAAAATGTGTGAATAAGCTTATGTATGCAAACAGACAAAGAGTGATAAAGACAAATGAAGTATGCATATATAGAAATGCCCACAGATGAATACATACAATCTAAACAATATGACAGTGATGACACATGAAGAAGTTCGATAAGTTTGCATAACAATTTTTATAAATCTGCAATATGAATTTACAATATGAATGGATTTTCGATTAAATGTTTACATGTTGAAGTGTATATGGGCCACTACATTATCATTACTGACAAAGAGACCTAGTTATTATTATTATTTGAACACATAGATATTAGTACAAGGAGGCACCAAATACATATGCGCCACACAAATCTCATTTGATTTGTGTGAGGGCTGTGATACTGCTCGGGTGCCCAAACTGAAGCAGGTGGTATTAGTAGGGCGCCACACTCGGAGCCTTCGACCTAAACGTCTGATCCACAAGGCAGTGGAGCATCGTGAAGAGATGCAGTACCATGGTAGCCAGTGACCAACAGTTGGTTCATACGCCATTTGTTCCTACAGGATACTGGAGCCCATGTGCACTAATGGTTTGGAGTCAAGGACTTCCAACTCCCCTAGGTGGACCCTCAATGTCCACCAACTCGGTTAAAGCACCGGACATTTGCTTTTCGTCCTGTCAATTTCGTAAACAATACCCCCGCCGCGGGAAGGAAGTGAGTAGGACTTACCCGGCAGAGGCTATATACGCGTGGCCATGTGAGAGCATTTTGAGAGAGTGAGCGGACTCTCCCCACTCTCGGCCGTACCAGAGCATTTGGGGGCGTGAGGCCTAGTTACTAAGTATAAAATATTTGAGAAGAATCTTGAAAATAACTTTAACATCTTAATCATTAAAACAAATCTAAACTAGTCTAGACAAAGCAACTGTTTTAAAAATTGTCTGTAAACTATTAACTCCTAGCTATAAAACTTCATAATTTTTACTTGTATATCAATGTTAAAATATAAAAATGTATTAGATGTATAGGAAAAAAATTTACAAAACTTAGCAGAGAAATGATCTAAGTATTTTTTTCAAGAAAAAACTGAACTAAACGAACAATTATCCTGAGTGCTACTAAGATATATTGAATGAATAATTTTAATGAAGATTCTTCTCTTTACAATAATGTTTAAAATTTAAATTTGCATTATATCAATAGTCTGTTGTATATATACTTAATCGAATCTTACGATCAAGTTGTAAAATAACCCCGTGTGGGTTTGGGATACTTTTACGTTTACGAAAGCTTCCAAGTGGATAAATTTGCAACTTGATAAATAAAATTCTATCAGTCTTAAAAGGGCTAAACAAGCATGGTAATAGCCACTACTCAGTCACCGATCAATTGTGCATATGTTAGTTTTACGAGAGTTGCGTAGAGATCCAAATAGCTCGGTGGTAACGTTTCAAACTGTGAGTAACTGCTATAACGAGATAAATATTAAGCAAAGTTGAACTTTAAGAACCTTCCTACCCAAAGTTGTTAGTATTTTTGTAGTATCATCTTCAAATACTTAAATTATTGTAGTTTTGTACCCTCCTGTTTGTAAGCTTTTCCGTGACTCCTAAGCTGTTGTTATGTTTTGTACCTTCCTTAAGTTACTGTTACTTTATCATGAACCCATTACTCAAACCTTTTTACATTTGGGCAGTAAATATCGTCACATGATCATAATTTTTTTAATTAAGTTGGTATGAACTCAAGAACTTACTTTATATGAGTTGAGTCATGAAAGTGAACTGTGTAATTCGAATTTCACTACCTGCTGTGTTGTGTTCTATCATGGCTATCTGGTGAGTGAGTGCTCATAAGTCCCAAGAGGCACAAAACCTAAGTCTGACATTTCTTTCTTGACACTTCAAAAAAGGTGCTCAATGACTCACTGTCCCTTCAAATGGTATGTATCTCGATAATTGTAGACGACTAAAACTGATTTTCTGTTCAAACATGATGCGCAAAAATCTTCGTTTTACTACTATTGGTACGTCTTATGCACACATACAATACATATAAATACACATAAAACATGAGCAACCCAAAAAATTGCTTAATATGATTATACTTTCGGATTTATGATGTTTGAAATATTAACCATCAAATGCAAACCAAAATCTCATGATCGATAAATAGCATTGCTTTTTTTGGTAGTGCAAGAGAAATATGCAAGGATGGATGCAATGACACAAAAGTTACAATCGATATGGTGAAGACTTCAGGTAAATAACTAAGCCTTAACATTAATTGATTGGTAAGTGCCTCTCGAAAATTAACAGTGCCTTGATCCAAAGATAGATTTTAACTGAAGAACTATTGAGAACCAATGAGCTGCAACACAAACCTGACTGAATTTTATTATATGAATCAATTAGGTTATGAATTTGTGAGATCTAAAAATCCCAAAGTACTTTGTTAAAGGTTAGTGCTGATGATAAATTGAATAGTAATGAACAAAGCTCTCTGTTCAAGTGAATTTTAGTTTAAAATAGCTTGTTTCATTTCATGATGGTGATCATTCAATAAAATTTGTACGAAATCTTAAAAAACCACTTCAACATATTTTTTAAAATATTAATAGTATGCATGACAAATTTGTTGACGATAATCATCAGATAAATTTAGATTTATTCCAAAACTAATCAGTCACTGAGTAGTGATCAATACCATATTTATTAATTCCTTTAATATTGATTACATCGTATTTCTGAAGTTGGGAAGTGGCTACTAGTTCAAGTGACTCAACATCCATGCACTATGTTGAAATTTCAAGTGGTTGGCGGTAGTTGACATAAAACCGTGAAAACAAAGGTTCCACGCCAAACAACACTCGTCAGTAAGGTGTACCCTACACTCTTGAAAGAATTGATGCCTTTAATGAATTTGAACTTGTGTCACCTGGTCTCACAGCCTGGGACGTTACCACCGAGCTATTCCAACGATGTTTCTTGCTGAATACCCCTAAACCTCCAACATACTTTATTATTGTATTACATGTAACGTAAATAAACTTACCAGGAGTACGATATAATGGTCCTCCAGTATTTTTCGACAATGCAGCTGCCTGATAACCTACAAACGGAAATAAATTGCAAACATTATACAATATGTAGGGCGTACTTTCCTTTTTCTATAGGCACCAGATATATAAGCGCCAAAAACGTCACTTGGTTTGTGTGAAGGCTGTGATACTGCTCGGGTGCCCAAACTGAAGCAGGTGGTATAAGTAGGGCGCCACATTCGGAGCCTTCGACCTAAACGTCTGATCCACAAGGCAGTGGAGCATCGTGAAGAGATGCAGTACCATGGTAGCCAGTGACCAACAGTTGGTTCATACGCCATTTGTTCCTTCAGGATACTGGAGCCCATGTGCACTAATGGTTTGGAGTCAAGGACTTCCAACTCCCCTAGGTGGACCCTCAATGTCCACCAACTCGGTTAAAGCACCGGACATTCGCTTTTCGTCCTGTCAATTTCGCAAACAACACCCCCGCTGCGGAAAGGAAGTGAGTAGGCCTTATCGGCACATTGAAATGTCTAGATAACATTTAGACATCTGTCAAACGCGATTTCTTATGATCACTTAACTCGTGTTAGTGCTAATCCTCAATTGTATCCGGTCGGCAATTTGTTGGGGCGTAGGCATTGATAACGATATAAAATCGTATTCCATTTTCGACTTCTCGCTCTGACGGAACTTTCTAATCTTGAAACACACGAACTACTGTTAATTTGGGTCTAATCGATTTGGTACAGGGGCGCTTAACAAACCCAATAAAATCTTATTAGGAAGCATTATTAAGTTTTGATACCATAAGTAAACATGTGGTAACCTGACAAATTATATTCCTATTGACAAAGTATACAAACTTAATACAATAGAAAATAGTTACCATCATAGGTTATGGCTCTTCATTCGAAAAGAATCGTTGACATGAGATTGTTAAACAAATCGATAACTTCATGAAAATGAGTCAGTCAGTATTTTACCCACGAGCGCAAATAGTATGAAGGAATACGTTACAACTTATTTCCTTATTCTGACGTGTAAACGTTACCTGAATCTATAAAGTGACCATCTTTGTCTACAATAAGGTGAAGGTGGGATGTATGTTGTTCCGTCATGCCAGTATATAGGTAATGTTCCAGTGGAACAGGGCGTTTATCTGTTGCGATGACATGAATCTCACAACCTCGTACACGTCCTAACCAATCAGCTATTTCATAATTATTTGGTACAGTGGCGCTTAACATTACTAGTAGAATATGCTTAGGAAGCATTATCATAATCTGCTCCCATACGTAACCTCTGTCTGGATTATTAATATAATGTACCTAAAGAGAAAAAGGAAAGGAAATTAAAAATTATAATAGTAACAATAATAACAATAATTATAGTAATAATGATGATCAAGCTTGTTTATTAATCCAGTGATCGCTGATTAAGTAAACAGATAAACTAGACAAATGTAGAACATAATTTGTTAGCTAATGAACCATTTCTTCACTGAAGAAAGAGTGAACATAACCTGGAAAAATTAAATTTCAGAAGTAAAATATTAAATTTGTGTGAAACTTTAAGTAAAAATCTCAACAACAATTAAACAACTACAAGTACGAATGTAAACATAAAGTTTCGACCAGGGACACATAAATCGGTGAACATGTGTTTTATCAAATCATACTCATCAATGATAGAATTCTAGGAATTTCCTCTCAAATCTAGTCACTAGTGAGCACATGATAACTATCAGTATGGATGTATGGATATTGTTAAACTTTAGAGAAGATAATCGCGCAATAACGTAAATCGATTGATATTAGACCCAGTGGTCTAGCGGTTAGAAGTTTGCACGCGAGACTGAAGGTCCTAGGTTCGACTCCCTGTTGCAGGGTCGTGGATGTGAACTTCCGGGGTGTCTCACACTAGGATGGGACGGCTGTCCGATACTTTCGAGTTTTCAGTGGTTGTTTAACTTTACTTGGTTTGTGATTTCGATGAATTGCAGTGATCAGTTTATTGCAATAAAATTTATTCTAACGTAAAATAATACCTTTATAGCAATTTTTAGTCAACAGAATGTAATAAAATAATCATAACCGTGATAACAATTTCAAGAATATGGGCCCATGACGTTTGTTTTAGTTGAAATACTAATCTGTTTTGGAAGGTATTTGAGCTAAAACCAAATAAACTTATCACAATTAAATGTCTTGTGGTACGAAATGTAGAAATTTCGACAATCATCTACAATAGTCTAGCCCGAATTTTTCACAGATATGTAATTTAATAAAAGAACATAATTATGACAAAATAGTTTTATTAAACAACCTTGGTAAGTAAATGATAAGCAATAGCTTACCTCGTCCAAGATTACAATTTCAAGATTTTTGATAATCTCAGATGCATTACACAACATATTATATAATATTTCAGTGGTCATGACAAGCAATGATGCTTCTTGAGCTAGTTTGATATCCCCAGTAATTAGTCCTACATTCTCACCAAATCTTTCCCTAGAATAGTTGATAAGTGGTAGACAAAACTGTGCTTAGTATATCCCCATATATATAAACTACGATAAAATACATATAAAACTATTATTTCACTAATTCAACAAAATAACTAACCTAAAATCATGAAATTTCTGATTGGAAAGTGCTTTAACTGGACTCGTATAGATGACACGTGAACCACGACGTAAACAAATAGCGCAGGCGTATTCTGCAATCACCGTTTTACCGGAAGATGTATGTGCTGAGACAAACACTGTTTTGTTGTTTTCAAGACAAAGGATTGCACGTTTCTGAAATGTGTCAAGCTCGAAATCCCAATTCAATGCTGGATTCTGAATTAACTTTGTTAAGGTCGGGAGTGGTGTTGCAGTATCCTCCTATGCAGAGTGATAATAATCATAGAAATGAAAATTTACGGACGATATGCATAAATGTATCTGTCAAAAACACTATGTAAATCAAAATACAAAATGTAAATCAAAATCCTGTCGTTCCAAATAAACAAACTCATATTTCCATGCAGCGATTACATTTTGTTCCAACTTCAGTTTGAATTTTCTATTGTATAATTAATTGGAGGTTAAAATGTCTCACCACCCGAGATAAAAAGAAACAAACGTCTACTACACACATTTAAATTCATGAGGCCATTCATCGGTAAGGCTAAATGATCCATTCAGTACTTGGACACGAAATTGACTCATGATCGTTTTCTAGTTCCTCAAAAATCCCCTAGGCTTGAACCTCAAACGAAAGGCAGGAAGTGCGAAAAGATGCTTCAATTCAAAGGTTAGTTTGAGTATAGAGAATAATGATATTTATGGGTGATCTTGATATTCTGTAAGTCGCTGAAAATATGTCAAAATTGGAAACAATATCGGTAGTTGTTTAATCAGAAGACACGAAACCAATCTTTTTTAGCTTTTTATGGGAAGTCTTTGTCAAACACTGGCTGGCGGAAGTATTTTTTGAACCTTCTCACAGTTCCTGGGGGCTTTTACGAGGAAATCTAGCAATAAACATAAATTAATTTGTAGGGTGTCATTTTAATCTATTTGCTAATAAAACTGACCAATTCTAGACATCTTTAATGAACGGGTGTCATTCAAGAATGTTTTTTTCATTAACAGAGTATATAACAGTTGTTTATGTAGTATTGGGTAAGGAGGTGTATACATTCTGGTTAATGTTTAAGTGAACAAAAAATAACTAAATCATGCAAACGAAACTATTTAATCTGCCAGGTGTTTGGTGAACTGATGCAAATACGTAAAATACTTTAAATACAACACTGTCAACGTCCTCAACTGCAAAACGTTAGTAAAGAAAGTTCCACACAAAAATCAAAACGCTTGACTCGTTATCCACCCCACAACAAGCACATCTTGATCACATGATTACAACATGAAGATAACCAATCAATAAGCATTCCAAAACATATTACATTTCAAAGGAATTCCAAGCTTTCTGAAATAAAAATGTGTGTGAACCAATATGGAGATAATTAGAATAGGGGTTTATTTAGATTGCAGAGATTTATAGTTTACATAACATGATACTAGCTGCATAAATCTTTAAAATTAGGAACCGTGGGACGGCTGTTTCGTTCTAGAATGGAACTACTCATCAGGGAGTATTCACGACCCCACCGAGGACTGAACTCAAAACCTCCAGATATGAAGGCAAACGCCCAACATTAGACTACTGAGTCTGGATTCAGAAGTATACATCACCGGCTATAATCGAACCTTGATATTACGCGAACACCTTACAATGTCATTGGTGGATAAATGTCAGACACACAAGGTTGAACTATACCGGTCACGGTATCTCACTAGAACACGGAGAATAATCTGTCGCAATCAGCCACTAGTGATGAACGAAGATTTAATAGTATAAAGGTTTAAGCTGAACACTAAGCCCGTAGGTCCTCAGTTCGATCTCAAGTGAGATGGTGGATGCCCGCTTCTGAGGAGCCCCGTACCATCATGAAACAGCTGTCCGGTGCTTGATAGTTTCACTGGTTATCTAGCTGAGGTCAGTCAGTGATGTAAAAAATGTGAAATAGTTTACAATACAAATTAGCTTTAGCTACATTACTGTATTATATCCTTATACACAATCTTTCTTTTATATATTACTACCATTGAAGTAACTACTATGACTTTGGTGTTCATCTTGTTGTGCTAATGAGGTATGGCAACTTGAACTGATGCATATATGCGCCTGGTCTTACGTTGTAGCTGACTGACTGACACTACTGTTGGAAACCAGAAAACATTTGATGACTAGGGCGAAAGAGTTTCTTTCTCCTATCTACAACGGTTGTCTAGCTGGAGCCAGTTTATGGTGTCAACTACCATCAAGGTCTTCACAATCCCTCGATCCTAATGAAAAGACAAAATATTGGATATGGAGAATAAATCCGTAATTCATTATTGCTTGATATCTGTAGTTTGTAAAGAACCTATGATCAATTAATGAAATGTGTTGAGCCTACAACAAACAAATGATCACAATTGCTGTCCTAAATATTTCATATACGTTAAGAAGAAAAATGGGAATCATGTAACCCGGTGAACTGCTAGAATGAAACAGTGGAGAGAGGTAATTGTATGCTTTCACTCTATCTGATGTGTTTGTATACAGAGCATGCAGGAAGTATGGCGTAACGTCGGAATTTCATAGAGGGTGAAAATTATAACCAATAAATAAACAACCAAGACGAAAGCCTGTCCGCTTCTCGCAAGTCGGTCTTTTATATGTTTCAGTGTGAATTATGATGGAAACCAATAGTTCTGAATCGATTCAAAGTAAACTTATTCTGTATCTTTGTAGAATTGTTGAGTCGGCTTCCGGAGAACTTCAATGGAGCCTCCAGAGGCCAAAAGGGAACCGAAGAGTTCTAGCCAGTCAGAGCACGATGGAGCATTCTAGAATCATCAAGAGTATTTTGCAAATAACCATACACTCCACAGTAGGCCTGGACAAGTTTTTTTTGGAATAAGACCCTTAGTGACACCTCTGTTGAAGCATATAGCCCAAGGTATTTCAAACCACAAATTCCTTTCCTCCGTAGTTTCCATCAGAGAGTACTCCCACCCTTTCCTCCTGGATAAACTCCCCAACCAACTTCCCTAGCTCATTTGATACATCTCCCACTAAGTCTAGCTATCAAAATACCGAGCTAATGAAGAACATTCGATCCCTCAATTCAAACTCATCTCACACCCGCGAGGGTTACGACGACTTTATCCGAGATACCCTCACCCATTTTAACTTAGTAGGCCACTTGCTTAATATGTCTTATCAACGCTCTATCGATCTGCAACAAGAAGGCGGATCTAGCCCTTTTTGTATTCATACATCAATCATCACTGATAATGATATTTGAAGCATGGACAAACAGCAATATTTCCGACCGAAGTATATCTCTTGACAATTATTTCCTATATAGAAGTGATAGATTGAATGGACGAGACGGAGGATGCCTTATTTACGCTCACTACTATGTGATATGCCTGAACTAAACAAAATGAAGGATTCAGTGTGGATTGTATTAAAGCCATCGAATTCCGTTACCTTACTGCTTGGTTGTGTTTATCGTCAACCTAACGCATTAACAGATGAAATGGCGGTATTATCGGAGGTATTCACACCAGCATCATCTGTTCCATTCACAGGCAAGCTTATTTGTGATGACTTCAACATGCTCGAAATTTCGTGGCTCCCAGTCAAAGCGCCGAGATGTTATGAATCATTTATTGAATGTCTAGAGCTTGGAAAATGGACTCAGTATGTCAATAGCCCTACCAGACATCAAAACATCTTGGACTTAGTCTTTACCAGTGGCCTCATTCCGAATACTTTGTATATTGAAAAAAAGTTTCCAGGTAGTGATCATAACAGTCATATGCAGCCTTAATGTAAAAACCACAACCACCATCTAATCCTCGATTGTATCCGGTCGGCAATTTGTTGGGGCGTAGGCATTGATAACGATATAAAATCGTATTCCATTTTTGAATTCTCGCTCTGACGGAACTTTCTAATCTAGAAACACACGGACTACTGTTAATTGGGGTCCAATAGACTTGTGCTGCCTGGTACTTACTGCGACACGAAAGCCAGTCAAACCGAACAGAAATGCCAGAGTTACCAGACAAACACACACGAAACAAGCGTCTCGAATCGAGAAATAGGATGTACAATTTTAGCATTTATGCAGTCTTAAGTACAAGGCTCGGGTGTACAGCAGATGTCTATATCAAGACTTTATAAACAACCAAATCTACCGTCCGATCTGTATTAGCACCAGAACGTTGAAAGAATCCAGTTTGAATATTAATTATAGCTTCAGAAAGGCATAATCAGAATCTGTACTTGGTGGTAGCAATTAAGCTTTTGACTAGTCTGTAATTTGAGTTCGTTTCAACACGACAAAATTGTTATCTGCTTGATTGTTTGAATTACTTGTGATCTGAATACAACTCGAATATAAGTAATACTGTCAATCCGACTACATTATTGCGCCTACGACTATTGTTGAGGTTAAAGTCAAAAAAGTAGTTGAAATCTACTACTGAAAACCACGTTTTTGACAGACAAACGGGTGCCTCATCTGTGTCAGACGGCTGAAGTTGGTGAAGGAAAAGGAAATTTACGTCCATCCCAAAACATCCTCGGACAAAAATCTATAGAAGTTAGGGAGATTTCGAACGCTAATGGGGTAATCAACAAAACTCACGATTATTAGTTACATAACCATCTCCATAAAATGAAACTGATTCACTAAGTTTCATCAGTTCTATTACAATATCCAGGTAAAATTAAGAAAGCTATCAATAGGATATTTGTGATAAGTTAGGATAGAAACACGTTAAGCTGACGGAAGTAAAGTGAACCACTTAACATAGCTAGGTGAACAATTGCACAACAACAAAGGAGCACGGTCGTTGTTTTACACCAAATATTTTGGATGGAGACCCATGCGAGATTGGTTTTAAGAAAATTGTCAGAAACAAAGCGGTTACAAAGCATTTAAAACTTACGATTGTAGCATAGGATTCACGTGGTTTGCAGCTCCTTATTCGTCTTTTAAGAAACGTGATCGTTTCTCTTTTGGGTAGTAAGAAAGTTCCTGCTTCATTTATCTGAGCTGTTAGTCGAAGAAAATATCCCTTTGGAAAACACCAATTCTGAACCACATCCTCAGAAGCCATTCTCAATAATTCATCAATTATACTAGGGACAGTTGGTAAATCACCAGAACAGTCAGGTGATTTACGTATACAACTCCATAGATTAAACTCCGTCTTAGTTGAACGAAGAGCCTGTCTACGAATTTCATGGATGGATTTCATAATTGTTGGTTCAA